CATCATACCTTTTGGAACCGCGATATTGTTTTTGTTACATCGTCCAGTTCTGGACAAGGCGTTTCTGCATTTGACTTGGTTTTCATGATAATAAAACAATTTATTTGTGCACTCAACGGGTTGTTGTCTAGTTTCGGTTTAAAAAGGAAAAGAAAGGCGGCCGCGAAATTCTGGAAAGGGAACTGTCAGCATCGAGGCCGCAAGACTCGTAACTTAAACGCCGACGAACAACTACGGCTTTCTGCAGGGAAAATAATCCTCTTAGCGCTCTCCTCTCCTAAGCTGCGAGGGGCGCCAAGTTGGGGCAAGGTAAAAAGTGGACACGATATGGGAAAGAAGGAGACGGGCAAAACTGGAAAGCGCGAAGTGTACGTCGGCCTCTAAGCAGTGATCTGGGCCACCCAGTTTAGTGAACGCGGTCTTTATCGAAGACGTTCTCTGAAGGGTTCGTACTGGGCTTGCAGCAGGTGATCGTATTTCATTTCTAAGACTCCCACTCTGCCGGGACCATTGTTTCTAAGTAAGAAACTATCGGTGCAGGGACCTTCAAATATGGAGGAAATTTTATAATTGATCATGAGCGCACTAGATAGCGTTTCCTTTTGCATATGGTTTATTGAAGAGTAGTTGTATTATTGTCGCAGTTAATTTCCCGGAAAACGATGTAGTCATCAGCCAACAAGTTAATGTGAGAAGGAACGCAAGAAAGTCAGTTGTTACTGCAAGTAGCAAAAAAGTAGAACACCTAGCAGAGACCCTTGCTGTAGACCGGAGTTGATACCGCTTTTCGGAACGTTCCGTTCGTATAGGGCGGCTAAAAAATTATCTGTCAACGACTATTCCCCCTCCTCCTCTAAAATACAAAAACAACAACAACAAAAAACAACCACGAAAGAAGTTTGGGGACCAGATATAAGTTCATGCTACTTATACAGTGATTGCCTGGTACAAACATTATCAAACACTTTCGAACCACAAAGTTGGCTAATAAAATGTGCTAAAGAATTGCGCTTCGTTTGAAATTAAAATGGGCTTCGTGCGAAAAAAGTTTTTTTTTCGTAAAATTAATGTTGTTAGTAGCAAAGCATACATAGAGCAGCGGAAGAAGACTGATCAAATTCTTTTTTACACTTCCAGACTGAACAATTTGCTTAGACATTAAAGTCAAATTTGGGGGTTTTACGTGCCAAATCAACGGCGGGCAACTGGCACGCCCCAGCGGCGGACTAAGAATTAATTTCGACCACCTGGGGATTTTTTAACGTGCAACCGAAAGCTCGGTTACACGACGCCTCCGCTATAAGCCTCGGCCGGGACTCGAACCCGCCACCTGGGGATCCGTAGGCCGGCGCTTTGTCTCGGGGCCACCGTGCTCAAACATTACGAAGTAGTCGTAGCAATGAGTAAAGGCTTTATTTTGAAAACATTCTTATTCATAATCGAAGTAAATTTGTAAGAGGCTTGGCGAGCGTCAGTCGAAGCGAGTTTTCGTTACCTATAAACATACTTCTTTTCTTTTTTAATAGCGACCTATTGAGAGTGCTGCACCGTGGCCTTGGGACATTACGGCTAGAAATGACAGTGCGAGTAGGAGTGCATTTAATAACTTTTTCATTGACTAGCCGTGAAAAGGATTCACTTAATGTATATTCTACGATTATCAAAGCTAATTGCAAATGTATTAAGGGTTTTGGTCAGGTTATTGATAATTGTTTTCAAATGCTCATTTCGGTAGCTTTGCATAGTTTTTCTTTTTATGGTTTATGGTCGCGAAATGTTATGTGGAATACAATCAGAGAATCATTTTTCAAGCAAGGTACATATCCAGCGCCTGAGGTAGGATCAATGTCAGAGATTGGTGCGAGGTCAAGGGTAAATAGTACGTTGTCCTCGTTATTTGTTTCACAAGTTCTTTGAAGAAAAAACATAAAAAAGCGTCGGATATACTTTATTAAAAAAGGGGTGCACACTGTAAGATTCACAATTACATACTCTATTTGAAATGTTAAAATCTCCAGACAAACGTAACGGTAACATGGAGTAGCGAGGTGAATTAATGCTAGCCACATCCTGTTGATCATTCATACAGCTGGGGAGGGGGGGGGGGGAGAAGGGGAACGGGAGCAAAAACAAGCGCGGACGATATTTACTTAATAAATAGAATTTATTTACAGCGTATTCTTCAGAATATTGTCCAGAAATTATATCTATTGAAAGTTTAGGCCTCCTTTGAGTTAGTAAAGCAGATATTTGTGAAGGTGTGCTACGCATGATACCTTTTCCCGGTGTACTAGGCACCAGGTGCGTAATATTTACAGAAAATTTTTGTTTTCAATCTAAATTTGCCTCTATGGACTATAGAACGGAACATAATACACTGTGATAGGAAACATTTAGTGATAGCGAAAGGTACGCCATATCCTTGTCGCTTAGGTCTCGCTTAGCAAGGTCTCGTTTTGCACCGTAATATAAGCATTTATGTATTGACATGAGCACAGGGCCTCTGAGACTAGATGCTTGTGAGAAATGTTACGATACCGCCCTTGTCAATATTGCTTGGAAAGAGAGAAGACGACAAATTCCAGATATTTGAGAGAAGGCAATGTTATTAAACAGGCTAGCTGGATAACGTTAGACATGGTTATAAACCAGATACGAACGAACGAAAAGCTGAATTTGAGACGTTTGCGTATGTAGTCTGTTCGTTTGTCTCATGTCTAAAATCATGTGGAACTTGAAAGAAATTTCGTGAAGTGTTTCTTTGGTGTCGAGGATTGAATTTCACGAGTTCTTGAGTAAACGGCTTTTCTAGTTTTTTGTTTTTTTTGCACGACTACGGTGCCTGAGAGGCGTCTCTGACTTGTGTGTCTACCGCGTCCAAAAAAGTGGTCCCTCGATTTCCGCTTGATGATGTCACAAAAGTCTCCCCCTGTCGCCGCCCGCGGTTCTAGCGGTGGGACAGCAGCAGCCGTAGTTTATCTGGCAGACGCCTGTTCTGCTGCAGGTGGCTCTCCATCTTGACAGTCCACGGAAGCTTAGGCAACCGGAGTGTGGACGCTGCGGTGAAAGCGACACTCGAGTTCCCTGGTGTGATTATAATGCAATTAAATGCAAAGATGTTGTGTCCTTGTCGTTCGTTCGTCTCTGGTTTCTCCTTTGTCCCTTTTGTTCCCCTTACCCAGGGATTATTTTCGTCATTCGTAGTTCCCTGGTGATTGTTTTTCCAGAACTTCTACTCCCAAACACCAGGATCGCGACATGCATAGCATGACACTTCGGCCGTCGTGATGTCATTTGTTGACATCTCGGAAAACACACCAGTCGGAGACTCGTTTCAGGCCCCACAGGTCACACTAAACATAGTGAGCGTGTTTTAACATTGAGCCAGGAACACGGAGCTTTTCGGACTGTCTGTGCTACGTTGCCTCGTTAATGGACAACTGAGCGTGGAAGTGCGAGTGCCCGGATGGCTCGGGGCAACATCCAACACCTGTTAGAGAACTGGGCAGAATGACTGTATTTATTACGTCACCTAAAGTGGCAAACGCGTGGCACGGTTTGGACACGAGTGCAGGATCTACGTTTGGCTGAGACTGCTGTCCTAACTGATTGAAAAGGATTTTGAGCCGAACGTCTCAAACAGAGCAGCCCTGCGTAATCGCTGCATAGCGTTTTCCTGTTTAGATGACGTAAAGACAATTGATGATTTCGGCGTTGTTAGGTGTTGGATCAATGTAGCACTATTGCCGCGCGTGCAGAATCCCTGTCGCAAAAGTTCCGTGTCATTAGCCCCGCATCTCGAGATCCCCGCGCTCGATGACTCCGTTTCATATCTCCTGCGTGCCAAAAGCCCCGTCCTCACTAGCCGTCTCACATTCCTGTTGCGTGCTTTGTCCGGCGTTATTCGGTGCAGCGGGGGCGGTGCAATAGGGGCCGGTCACTACGTTGCGCATGTATCATTTATTGGGCGCGTGCTAACCTACCCCGCCCACCCGTTCAAGCCTCTTCGCGACGACACTCTGCGGCGGGTCATTATAAGAAATGGTAAGCCGCCTGACCCACCCGTACACGGCGGCTGTCGATAGGAGTTGAGTCACGGGCATCTGAAACTGGGACTTGTGAAGACGGGGCAAAAAGAGGGCGTTTCGTGCGGGGCATTTTGTGCGGGGCATCTGAAAGGGAATGTTGAGATTGGGTACTTTCTTTTACCACCAGATGCCTGGGTAGTAGTAGCAGTATGCGCTTTGCGGGGGGGTGGGGGGGGGGGGGTTGGGAAACCAACATGCCTGGGTATGGTTCTTTGTGTTTTGTGCAGTCAACACAACGTAAAGAAAAAAACGCGATTAATGGCCGGTTCACGCAGCGCCGTTTCTTTGCGTTTTCTTATTTTACACATAAGTCACCGAAATATCCTGTCCTTGTATCGAATGTCGCCTGCTAGGCATTCTCCCTGGACTGGTAGCCGCGCTTAACATGGAGCGTGGATGTCCCGGTGACTTTTAGCTTAAGCAGACGTAAGCTTTTGGAACATTACGTAACGTAAGAAAATGGGGCTTGAGAACCAGCCTTAACCCGTTTCCTGCTCGATGTACGGCGTGCAAGTTCATCTGCTGGTTGCACCCCCCGTGCATTGGTTTGCACTCCCGATTCGTCCCCGTGCTTCCGTTTTCCTCCGAGCAGTGGCGGCGCGCGCCTGGGCACCCGATCATCGCGCGTTGCCTGCATGATCTTTATCTTGCCTTTTGATTTCCGTGCTCCTGCTTGCCAAAGAGGCATCTTAAAACACTTGATTGCCGTGCATACTGCGTAACCATGCGACCTTCAGTTTATGTATTCATACTGTTGTTCTTTAAGATGATTGAATCTGGTACTACCTCATAATCTCCTCATGGAGTACGGTAGGAATGAAAACAACGTTTTTAGCTTGACAGTGGCGGTGATAGAAGCGTGCGTGATTGGCTTTTGTAGGGTGACGCTTATTTGTCTTTACATTTTTTTAGCATCTGGGCCACAAAATGGACGCAGCGACAAGGCTGATTGTTATTTGCTGTTTTCTGTTGACCGGATATTCTTTGACGCCAGCGTCAGCAGACAATCCCGGTGGACGTCGTAGCTACGGAGATGAACTTAACAAAGACAGGTAAGCTCACCAAACTTCGTATGAACTACAGATGCAATGCAAGTCGATACGAAGACGCTCAGATGTACTTGTCCGTTATTTTATTTCTCCATGTCTAAGGGCTTAGATTGTTTCCTAACCAGCTCGTCAGTATACATTCCCTGCTTGCAGGTATAGGTTTGCTGATAATGGTTCGAATTAATAAGTGCTCTCCAGTTCAACTTTGTATGCCATAACTGCGCTGTTGGTTACCACTGGGACGCACAACTCAATGTCAATTAGGAATGGAATTAACGGCTTCCTGCGGGAAAAAAATGTTGGAAACCAAGAGGCCCCGCATTGCCGCTTTGTTGCTTCGAATTTCTTCATGTTTGCTTTGCTGTAAAGCTCCTGTTCAGGTTTGTACGAAAATTGTATCCTACAGATATCGCAAATATTTCACGATATTGTGTTGCAGTTTCTTTTTCGTGTGTCTTGCTTTTTGAAAATGGGGTGTAACGATTTCTACACCTTTAATTTTTTGTCCAATTCAATGGTTTTATGTTTATTTTAACACAATTTGATTGACTGTATTAATCAACAAAGCCTTCACCAAGAAAGTCGTAAACGTAGAAAGATGTTTGAACAGCAGTAGAGGCTTTATTACACGACGTTTCGGGAAGAGACTTCCATTCTTCAAGTGAAGGAAAGTCTATTCCCGAAACGTCGTCTCTTCCCGAAACGTTGAAGAAGGGAAGTCTCTTCCCGAAACGTCGTGTAATAAAGCCTCTACTGCTGTTCAAACATCTTTCTACGTTTACAATTAAATTGATAAGACGTAAGCCCATTTTTATACTTTGGCAATATTGTGCTAAGAATAAGTCCTCCACGTGCATCGGCATAATGCAGGTACCAGTTGTTGCTTTCAATCAGTAGTTTTGATGAAAGAGGGTGAAAACCTCGCCACGAATAAAAAGCTTTTTTGTTCTTGCTCATATATTCTTCCTCTACCTTAGACAAGCAGGCGTAACTTTTTCAGTTTTATGTAAAGTGAAAGCAATGCCAGGCGACTGGTGGTGACGTAATGCGATTCTACGGGTTAGCCCTGCTTTCCAATGTAGTTGCCTCGACAGTAGAGAAATATAAATCAAACAATAACAAAGGTACGCTAGAGACAATAGGCGTTTGATGAACATGAAGGTTGCAATGTTATTGTAATAAAAAATTATCACGTAGCGAAGAATCCTTTGTTTCCTTAAGTTAGCTGGGGTGCCCTTGTCCATTTTAAGGTCTGTTTTCGCAGGTGAACGCACAAAAAAGCGGACTAAAACCGTAGCGTCATGGCGCACTTTCTGCAGTTCGTTGGATATGTGGATGCGCGAATAGTGGTTCTAATCAAATCGCACTGCGACAGTAATTGACTTCATGGTTAGAGTTAAAAACTACAACACTTTGACGTTCATTCAGTCATGATGCTAAAGTGACACTCTGCCACTGAATTTGAACCTCCGTTCTCTAACCCCTGGTTGGATTTAGAGGCAACAACATCCGCAGACAGCGTTAAATGTGGTGACGCTATACTTTCCACGCTGTTTGAGTTGCTCGTTGACTCCTAGCGTTGGCTACGCTCTGACGCTCGCCATCGTGTCTAATGATTTGCATCTTCCGCTGCGTCATTTCTTTCGTCGTTGTGCAGTGCCTACAGGGTGTTACTGAGCGCTATTTGCGTGTAAAAAAGGTGCATAAACAAACAAACGAATGGAGTGCATTGAAACTCTTTACAAACGTATCTTTGATGGCGGATATATCTTGTTCAATTTTTATGTGTCGGTTTCGGGCAAGAGTGTTAAGCCTAAATATATCTTTTTTTTTGTATGCACAGGGAGGGAAACGGTAAAGAAACCATCTGGCTGATGCAGCTAGTCAGACATACGCTCAGATCCGCTGAACCTGATTGAGAGTGTTCCTTTCAAAGAAGATAATACATTTGCTTTATGTTGTGCCATCTGGGGGTAGCAGTGTCCACCGGTCAGACTTTTTTTTACCGTTTTTCTGCTTTGAATATATACAGAGTCTTTCTTGTAAAAGTGATACAAATTAGAAAAAAAAAAAAAAAAAAGAAACAGTCCTGAAAGCTACACCTATGCGGTTTGTGAGGCGAGTTATACGACCAGAGAGACATAGCATAGGGGCTAATCATAACACTGAGTCGGCTATTTAGGTAACACTTGTTAATTAACATTCTAATGAGTGAAAATAGACGTATTGCTCCAATTAGGAACTTGCTGAGCATCACCGAAAACTACTAAATCGGTAATTTTCGGAAAGACTTCGAGCGCGTGAGGAGCGCAGTAGAGCGCTAAAGTTACCACACGTGGAGCACGTACAGGGCTAGCGGTGGAATAGGCGGCCGCGCGATTTTTCCTTCTCATTTCATAGCCCCAACCATGCATGTAGCACGAGTGGTGCCTTTAGTGCACTACTGCGCTTCCCACGCTTTGAAAGTCTCTAAAAATGATTGTTTTAGTGGCTTAGATTTGCGCTCAGCAAGTTTATAAATGGAACCCTATGCTGATGTTCACTAATTAAAAAGCTAATTAACAAATTTCACATAATTAACCGACTGATCGTTATGATGACGCTCATATAGACCATTCCATTTAATGCTCTCAGGGCGGCGCCATTTCGTTCGAGCGCAGCGCCCTCTCCATGCACCCGGGAAATTCAGCGGTTTTGGCGGGGTAAAACGAGAGAGAGAGGGCACGTGCCCGACTCCGCTAGCAAACGACAAACCGAGAGGTTGCCATTCTCAAGTTTCGGGCTGTACCGGCGCGCTGTACCGAGCATCGAACTCTTGCTCGTGGCTGACGTTATGAAGTGGTTCGCGTTCTTAGAATATTTATGGCTATTCCAAAATCAGCCTACAACGCTCTGTTTTATTTCGGTAAATGATCAACTAGCGTATTTGTGTCCTACTACTTCAATAGCAGTGGAGTCAGCCGGCAGTACTACCACCAAATAGTGCGTGTATTGCGGCAGGAGAGCACGTTTTTATTTATTATTTCAGACTTCTACTCATGGTCGCTAAAGGCCTATACCAGTACGAACGTTGTATAGTAAAAAAGGTGCAGCAACCGGATTTACTTTTCGCCGGATGGACCGCCCGATCTGACAGTTTTCCTTTTTTTATATGCACGCAGGTAACACCTTTGCCTGACGACGCCAGGCGACATTGAGGAGATAAGAGTATCCTGCATTGTCCGCGTGCTCCTGCGAGGGGCCATACAAAACAGTGCACATTATTTTTTTCAGCGGGGTTGTATGCAAGATTACAAAACCGTGTGAAGTCTTGTTCACACACTTCCGACTTCTTAAAACCGAACGCCTTAAACCTTCTTAAATTTTCTTGTGACGACAGAACACACTGGTACGCAAGCTCCACCTATGCGGTGACCTTGAAATTGCATTTCACTAGAGCAAAGGTCTTGCGGCATTTGGGAGGTGAAATCTACGTACCGACTATGAGAAATGGTCATTTGTAACATTAACAAAAGCTTTTAAAGAAAAAAAAAGAATAAGAGAAAAAAATGGGACCGTTAAGTGTACCACCGCTACCCGAAAGGTGGCACGAATGTGTTCTCTCGTCGTAAGACATTTTATGTTCTTTCAAGGCACACGGTCCTAAGATGTCGCAAGTGTGTCAACGGGCAATTATGGTTTCCTTAAGTACCTCCAACCACTGCCTTTCTTTCTCGCGGCAGACAGCAGGTCTCCGAAGTCAACTTCGTGGACCAGGGACAGCCGGCCACGTTCATCTGTTCGGCAGTCAGTTCCAAGGCCATGAACGTGTCGTGGACTCACAACGGTACCCTGCTCCAAGTGGCACCAGGGCCACACGGAGATGAAGCAACGGGAATCGCTGGCGATTTATCGGTGGTCACCCGCCACGAGCCCCTCAAGTCGCCGCCCGGTGGGGTGTTGAAAACGCTCACCCGGAGCCAGCTGCGTCTCCATCGCGTGTCACCCGACGACGCGGGGGTGTACGGCTGCGAGTTCAGCGATCACCATGGAAGCCTTTCTCGGAGCAGCCGTCTTATCGTAAAACGTAAGCACGTTGAATGCCCGTCGTACGTAAGCCGCCAACCGGTTCCTTTACCGTGTCCTCAGAAGTGGTCCCTCGATTTACGCCTACTGACGTCACAGAAGTGTCACGCTGTTGCCTGCCGCGTCGTTGGTGGTGGCACAGCAGCAGCGGAGGAGGGTGTGGCTGACGCCTGTTCTGCTGCTGTTCACTCTCAATTTTGGCAGTTCTTGAAAGTTTAAGCAGCCAGGAGTCATGACACAGCGCCGACAGCGAAACTCGTGTTCTGTCGTGTTATTTTCCGGAACTTCTACGACCAACCGCCAGGGTCGCGACACCAAGCAGCGTGACACTTCGGTTTTTGTAACGCCACTTGTGGCCGCTTCTGACCCCCTTTTGATGCATGGCGGAATTTGATGCTAAACCAATACCACCTAAAAGAAAAGGCTTGCGGACATCATTGCCACAGTACCCTAATTGCCAACGTTATTTGATTAGCTAAATTACGGAACTGCTCATAGACGCTGCTTGCACGAGCAGTGCCCCCCTGACTCACCACTACTCGCCTCCCGTCGTTTCAGGCGCCGGACGGTTGTTATGGTAACTATGGAACACGTACGTTTCGAAGCTCAGAGACTAGATGGCGCTCCGTCGTACGTTATGGAACACATAGTTATCAAACGAAAACCTAGATGGCGCTTCAAACGATGAGATGGACTGAAGTGAGTGGAGGGGGGTACGGGGCCCTTCAGCAAGAGTTCCACAACTGAGGTAATGTGGTGACGTTGCCAATAGCGCACCTTGACGTAGGAGACGCTGTTGTGTGACTGAGTTTCTGCTCTTACGCGTATACGGGGAAATTTAGAGCGTGCTGACTCCTCCTGGCGTACGAGGGGTAAGAAATATGACTAAACAATTAACTTTCGTACTGCGGAAACATTGGTAATCATTTTATTAAAATTAAAGTGCCATATAAATTGTTTGTTCTGTGACTTGAAAGTTTTGCGTAGAAAAATCTGGCAACACTGGTAAACAGCCGAATTTTGCCAGACGTTTTAAGGCAACGTCGACCCACAGGTTGAACAAGAAGTGGAGACACCCCTTTTTGCAACGATATGCTTAGGTTTTGGAGATTGTGTCGTTCTGAAGCGCGGAGAAAGTTTCCTTGGGTGTGATTTTGATGGTCAAATTACTGTACTCCGTTTCGCCATAACTTGTCACACGCCATGGTCCCAGTAAGCTAATCAGCACAACGAAGGAATACACGTGATTATACGCTATCTCACTAGTTGCGGGCAGCGCTGTCGAAGCCATGGCTGGGTAAAAAAAAGAAGCCACTTTTTTTTTTTTTTACAGTTTTAGTTACTAGTTAACCTTATAGGGCAAGGGTCTCCAAACGTGTTGGATAAGGGATCGGACTGATGACCGGTGCAGCCTCAAGAGCCTGAAATTAGAGAAGCCAATATGAACAAGGAACTACTAAATAAGCCTAAATAAGCATTGAAATGCACAAATTTAAACGATAGCAAAAATTCAAAATAAAATGTAAAATGGACATGTACTTTATTTTTAAGTGCAATACTTTACTATTAAGGACATTACCACAATAATTGTTACCCAAAGCACCCACGAGACATAAATCTAAACACATGGGAACTTTGGAATATTCCCACAAAACAGAAGCTTAATGTAAGTGGTAGATAATATCAATGTGCAGAATATTGCCGAGAACTTGAAGGAACATTTTTGTTGTACCGCGTACATAAAACAGGGAACTTCGAATTGTAATTCTGGTGAAAACAATGTACAACAAATAATATCCCTAGAGAACCTGCGCTTTGAAAGCGTTTTCTAGGCATGTGCGAATCCTGGGTTTTGAGTTCGAATGCAAATTGAAAGCGAAAAGTGTTTTAGCTGAATGTTTACGAATCGAATATCGAATATTTTTCGTCTTTTTACTACTGCACCTTGTCTAAACGAAATTCCATTTTAACTCGTAAAGTTTGTTTCCCAGCGTTTACTTGTCCATATCTAAGCTAATTCTAATCCACCCATATTTATGGACTGCGACCTCAGAAAGTCCATTGCCTGCACGGGAAAGGCAAGTGAAATATGCATTTGAAATACAATTAACCTATGGAGACGCCCAGCTATACCTAATCGAGGGGATTTATAAATCTTCTGGCTGTATCGTAATATTTTTTTATTAGACCGACATGAGAAAATAAAAAAAAGACAATCGTGAATGGTGAACATAGGTTGTCAGGTCATCACTGGCTAACACGTATACCTTTTTCGTTTACTCTCGTCCCCAGCAATCTGGAAGATATATCCGGTATGGGCGACGAAGGAGTATGGAACTTTTCATTCTGCAAATAGTTAAAAAGGAGAGGTGCAGGAAAACGAAAATGCGTGACGGTTACGCTAACATCCTCAATGTTTTCTATTGTCGTGGCGACGGCCAAACAATGTTTTTGCCTAGAAGTGACGACATTCCAGATGGCGGTGTCTTTGTGGAAAACGTCAATACTCTAGCATATTAGCCGCAGCCTAATTTTTGAAAATTTTACTGTCGTGTAGATATCAACGTTGACAATATTTTCGTGTTTTTATACACTCCACGCGCGCGCGTGCGACATCCAGCTTTCAAAGTGGGCTTTCCTTTTAAACGCGGCAGCAATATTTGTACTTTTCGAAGTGTTGATCGTGGAGGGTTAGCTCCGTGTACCGTGCTTCTTACGGAGCATCTGTGCATGACAGAGCAGCAGCAACGCCGCCGGAAGAGAGCTCCGCAGGTGTTGCTTCTCCGCAGTGCACCAGTGCTCGGTAAGAAGCGCACACAACAGGGCTAACCCTCCGTGGTAAACCGCTTTAAATATATGAATACCAGAGCTAATCCGAAGCGAATATCGAATAGCGTAATATTCGAAACTAATATTCGAAAATTCGAATATTCGCACAGCACAAGTTTTCTCTCGTTCCTTCTTTTATATTCGCTTGCGCTTTTGGTGCGTGTCGCGGCGCCAGCTTTTTTACGGCGCTTGTATTTTTGCGTTGGTAGCGGCGGTCCGAGCTCCAAACGTCACTGGAAATACCGCGGCCATCCTAAGACCTCCGCGGACCGGATTGGCCCGCGGGTCGGGGTTTGGATTCTTGTTTAAGGGGGTGAAAACGACATATGGGACACACAAAAGATGTTCCGGATAAGATTTCCCGTTTCCCCTCTCTTTAAACTTACTTTTTCGCCCATATATATCAACTCATGTTTATAAACAAACCGGATTGCTCCTAGCGGCACGCCGCCGTCGCCACGCATGCGCGATGGAGTCTGGGCAAGAAGCGCCGCGTCGCGTATCAACAAACCTTTGGATTGTGATGTCGGGTTCAGTGTGCGTACCCGCGTTTTTTTTTCGAGTTGTAATTGTTGATTGTAGGTCTTCCTAGCAATCTCTTACTACTTTTGTGGTGTGAGCGAAATTAACGAGGATCTTAGACCGCAAAACTTTGGTGAATAATGTGAGGTGCGGTGATTGATTCCGCCTAAACTCCGCACAATGGACGCTAAATCCTGATTCACATGATATTAATTGATGTTCTGCTCGCTATTTTCAGTCGCGACGTCGCTTGGGCTGCAAACGCATGAACTGTAGCTGCAATGCTCGACGTCGAGGCTGAAAATCCCATGGAGAATTGGTCAGAGAGAGCCGGGCATAACAAGCCGGTTATGGCCATTGGCAAAAATAATCAAGATCTGCTTATATCTACTGTGTACACCGAGCCTACTTTCCCCAAACAACCCTCAAAGTTAAATGTCTTTTGACGATTACACTTACTACTTATCGCAATTATCGGGTTAACCTGCCTACGGGCCGCAGTCGTTTGAACGAGCAGACGATAATTTGCAGAAATAGACGAATTTGAACGGGCAGACGACTGTTTAAACGATCCGACGGTCGTTTGAACGTGACGCCTCACGAAGCGTTGTCTGCGGGTGATCCAGACAACTTGACGGTTTTTCGGCGTTCTTGTTGGAACAAACAAATAAATATGGCGACCGCGAATATCCATGAATTGCACCCAAAGTGCTTCGCGCAGAAGCAAGCGTGGTTTGACGGTGTCCGGTTTTTCACTTTCACGGCACTTATCCACGTTCTGAAACGAACCGATTGCAGGCAGAAAATACACAAAAACTGATTCTCACACCTTCCCGGCTTTTTTGATATATCCCAGTTCTCGGTGTTTTGATGTGACGGAAGGTTTTAGTCTGGTTTCTTCCAAAACAACACGGGAATGCCATTTCGCATAGCTATCTCTGCCCACACTCCGAGACCGGAAGTACACCCAATGCGCACCACCGTGGCGTGATGTAACATAGTTGAGATGGTGTATAGCATAAGCACGGGAACTGTGGCTGTTCCTGTGCCATCGTTTGCATTTTTTGTTCGAATTACCATTGCACTCCAAAATGCAATCGAAGTAGTTTACATAACAAACTTGAAAGACAACTTTATAAGCATAGGTGTAATTGCGAAAAATATAAGTTGATTAAAATGTGAGCTGTTCTGTGCCCCCAAGAAAGCACGGAAACGTGTTTGTTTTTTTTCCATTTTTTTTCACTTGCTTGTAGCGGTTTCGACTTTTGACATTAAAAATAGACTTGTGTGGCCTTCGCGCACCATTGGTGCCGAACGCAACAGTAACAACAAATTTGGTAGTTTTACGTGCCAAAATAACGAAGGGCACCTGACACGCCCCAGCGGAGGACTGATGATTAGTTAGGACCATTTGAGAATCTTTTGACGTGCAAACAAAATTTAGCTTACGTGGCATTTTCTCCGCAAAAAGCCCCCACCAGATTGCGGGCACCTCGGCCGGGATTCGAATCCGCCACCGCTGCCTCGGAGCCATCAAGGTGGTTTTGAGTGCTGAATAAAGCTGTGCACGTGCTATTCTTTCTTTGAAAATGCCAGAGAAAGTGGTTCCTGGTCATAATGTCTGCCGTCATAGGTGTGTCTGAGTAATCGGTTCTTCAAATAAACAAAAAGCGCATTAACGTAAGTGGAAAAAACACACACACTGAAACACGACATAGTGAAAACACATTGGGATACGAATGGCGCTTTCACTGACCTGTGAATGCGTTTCTCATAATGGGATTTGTATTATGTGATGTTTTGTTTCACTCGTGAATAAATGTTGGATTGCTGTTAAAAAATAAAGGTCGTTTCACATGAGGCGACTGTCCACCAAAAAGTGCTGCGATTTTCAGTCTTGTGGGGCCAAACACCCGTGAACACAGCATCCATTTGAACCGCCGTCCATTGATTTGTTTAGCCGCACGAGCTATGTTCCATTAGCGGAACGGCGAAAATTGCACTTCGATCGGGCAGAGATCGCGCCACGTGAAGCGGGCCATGGCCTAACGGGCTCGACTTGTGTAATCTTTGATTATTTTATTATATTTGTAAGTTTACTTTATGTCATTGATGGCGAGCACCGATGCATAAAGCTGCTAAACTGCAGCTTGTCTAGCTTTAACCCCCCGTGCATTGACCGACAGCGGAGGCAAATACATATGCTCAGGTTTATTTTATTTCGCAATAAATGCAGCCATGAACGTGACCATAGAGACTTGCCTTGAGGGGCGCAGTTGCCTGGGAGCCCAGAAGCTGTGCAACGTCAGTACCCTGAGGTGTCAGTGCAGGCCTGGCTACTCCACCAGCCCACGAGACCCAGCAGTGTGCGTACCTGGTGAGTGAATTCACTGTCTCGTACATGACGTATGTTCGTGTGTTGATGTAAACATTAAACCAAAAATTTGCTGGTTGTGGTCAGTGTTGGCATAGTCCTCGGAGTGACGATATTATAATGCGGCTCAAGGATTGGAGAAAGAATGAGCAATTAACACTGGGACAACACAACCACATCTTTCAGAAAGATGTTTGTGTTGTCCCAGTGTTAATTGTTTATTTTTTCTTCATTGATCACATGAACCAACAAGCTCTTCTCCAAGCAAGGATTGGACCCGAGCATTGCCCGGGCACTCGATTTGTGCCAGTGATTATCAATAGTTCGACAAGCATTCGGGTAGTGGCTCGTGTTCGAACGCTGCAATGACGATCATAGCTGAACCCTAACAGTGTCTGTAACTCGGAATCTGTTCCCTGCTTCGCCAAACCCAGCAAGTAGCAATGATATAGACTGGCGGCATATAATCGATTTCAGATTACGTGGCTGCATGTTCTGGCTGCTAGATGAAGGGGCAAACACTTCTTACTATATTTTTTTTACTTCTGCGACTACCATAGCGTTTGAATAAAAACTGACGCGTGTTTTATGTGTCATAAATGTAAGGGATTTATTCCAAGCGGTGTTCGCGTAAATGTCAAAAATTCGTGGCACAGACACTTTAATTGTGCTTTGATCACCCGATTGCGATTGAGCAGTTAGACGCTCTTACTCTAGGAACCCTAGATGTTTGCTGTCGAGATGGTAATTAACTCGCACATTGTGGCTACTTCAACGCAAATTATGTGGCTTATACCAGTTTGTCCTCTGTTGTTTTAAACGTTTCAGAAAACACTCTGCGGAGGGGACAAGGCCAGGGCGAACCATGTAACTCTTCCATACCATGTTCCAAGGCCCGTGCCGAATGCAACAAGCCTGGTCAATGCTTGTGCGCACTGGGCACTGTATGGCGAGCCGGTTCATGTGCTCAAGACAGTGAGTGCAGTTTATGGTGTGGTTTCTTGTAGGAAACTACGCTAAGCGAAAATGCGTCACGATGAGTCTTTATTTGACAAACGAGAGTTAGGGGGACCCGACGTTCTGAGTGTGTTGAGCAGCTTGGGGCGCTGCAATACGCGTGCGCAGAACTTCTGCCCTTGCGCAGTGCGACGCCCCAAGATGCTCGGAAGGACTCGGGGCGTCGGGGGCCCTATTCTAAAACCTTTTGAAGCAAAAACAAAAAAACGCTTTCGAAAAAAAAAAAAAAAATCAATAGGAGACAAAGAAAGACAGGGAACAAAGTTAAATAACTTTTAGGTAAATTTGCGTGTGCGTTGTGTTTTTTGACAGCGGAAAGTGCGGCCCCAGTGGGAGTCTGTATAGGAAATTTGGCCAGTGCAGAAGTATTTCTAGCTCGGGGTTTTTAACGTGCGTCGCGCGGTAGTGATACTTAATAATCCAGACTGAGTCACGAGTGCCGATGCAACGTCCCTCTCGCAATGAGCTTCCGAGCTTCTGATGATAAAGCTGTCTAACATATTGCCTTTTTGTGTACCGTATTTTACGGACCACAGTTCGCGGACTTGCATGCTTAAAACTCAAAAGTTTACGTGATGCGCACAAGAGAAGGAATTGTTTAAGAGTATTCACCATGACGGGACCTGCCAGATTTTGTTAATAACATAATATATTGATAATATTTACTGTATAATACAAGCTTCTTTCTGAGTTAATTAAGCAGTCATTTATTAGGCTATACAGTGCAGGGGCATTTTTTATGCGCGGATTTGGCACCAGGCGCGAACAATCCGTAGTGTCTGAACTTTGCACCGCACAATACCTTTCCAAGCAAAAATGCATTTTTGTTTTTGTTTTCAGCCAAAAATTCACGTTTAATACTTCTTTTCGAAGAATTGCATTTCATAGCAAGCCCTCAAACGTCTGAACTATAGTAGTCACGAAATACTGGGTGGACAGCTACAATCGTGTATTTTCTAACAATTCTCTGCAGTGGATATTGAGTGGTTAGGGCGTATTTTTCGCGTCCCTATCTTATAGCGCTCACTTATTTGGCCATTTGGAAAATATGAGAAAGATAACGCAGTTGTCGCATTTTGGAAAGATGGAAAGAGATATCCGATTCTTTCCAAAAATATCAAAATTCTGTGCTTACTTCGTAAAGGATACGTTTCTGTTTAGATATGCTGCCTCGTGAGCTCGGACGTTAATCGCTGTTCATTGAAAAAAAAAAAAAAAAAGCCCAATCTCGACTTTAGATGACAGGTTTATCGCTCGTTTAAAAGATGTATTGTATTTTAAAGTTGAACAGATATATTCTTATTTTGCCAGAGTTCCGGTTGGTGTCTTGGCTCATTTGGGTTGTCGCTTCGGCGGCCGTCATCGCTGCAATACTGGTTGCTGCCAAGGTTACAGCGCTCATATTGAGGAAAAGGTACGTAAATGGGAATGCTGGTTAAAAAATTATTTTAACTGCAGTTTTGCGTTCTCGGTGTATGCTGATAGACAACACATTTTAAGGTTTTACTTAGTTTTACCAAAATCAGGGGAAACCAAAAAAAAAAAAAAAAAAACCGAAAGGGAGCCGTCAACGAAAAGCAGATAAGTGTGTCCCTTTTCACCAAGCTAGTTCACCACCACTACCTCTGAAAACAATGGGACGACGAGGGCAAGAGACTTGCTTTCTTATTACGAAAGAGAGGTCAGGGTTCAAATTATTTATACATTAAGGTCGCGCGGGCATATTCTATTCAGCAAGTCAGGCGGTCGTGGGCAGACGATCTTTGCCAGGCACGTCAGAGCAACGTTGCGTCCGGTGCCCTGCTAGGCCTAGCGTTACGAGCGAACCCTTGGCGGTCGCTCGTAGCTTTTTTCCGGGTATTCGGGGTTCCAGCGTGCACCTCCGCGGCGTTCAGTACCGAGTAGTTATTTCTTTTGTCTTGCTGCTTGAAGTCGGTACGCGCGCGGAGAGCGATTGCTCACTTATTGCTAACATTGCTCGCTTACGTCGTCGGGACGACGTAAGCGAGCAATTTTGTCGGCCATGTTGATTATATCGCAAAAAGTGCGTAATGCAATGCTGGAGACGTCGTAACATTCCACCATAACTGGCGAGAAACTTGAAATAATTACGCTTCGTGAATCAGGCCTCCGGACTTTAGAGTCAAGCTGCATAAATCAGTGTCGATGCAGGCGAGTTTAATTTTTACAGATTGGTGAAGTAACGCGAAATAAACAAGGACTGAGCTAGGCAGTAAACATCGCTCGTCCTGCCTACTGCCTATTAGCCCCGAGAAGTTCGCGTGGCGCCCCCTTACGGTGAACCGGGGTGACGTCACGGCGAGGAGAGAATTTTTCCCCGACTCGCCCCGCTCGCCTTGTGGAGACTGTGACGACGCTAGCTGTCGGCGCGCTAGTTTCGATTTAGTTTTTTTTGCGTGTTTTTCTTAGGAAGTGTAAATTATTATAAGTGCCTTTATTGAGGTATGGCCTGTAGCTACAGGCGAAACTTCTTCCAACATTTTAAGCATGGTTGAAAGGGCAGGCAACGCATGAATCACAGCTGGTATATGAAAATAAAGAAATATGGCCATAATTGCCGGAGCATCACTATAGATTTACATCTCGCACAATAAATGCTGCTGATGGTCTGAATAAATTGGCCAATTATGTATACTCTTTTTTTGTACTTCTGTTTTTAAACAAGATCGCCGAAGCAGAAAAGCTGCATGCTGCTCAAGCAACATGCTAAATACAGTCTGGGCCATGGGTAGAGAGTCACAAGTAAGACAGCCCAACTGCAGGCGCAAAGTAAAAAAAAAACAAGCAACATTCATTATATACATTGCTCGCATTTCACCTTTGCTGGATTCGGATGGTATTTCAATGGGCTCCACTGGTTGTATCTGTACTCTTGTTTATATCATCCCTCAAGAAATGTACAACAAATGTAAGCGAAGGTGTCTAGCTCGTTATTAGTCCCTTAAGCCCTAAAATTGAGATTTGACTTAAATCGAAATATCCTGAAACTAAAATACCAGAAGCTTTTGTCACGTAGACTGTCGCTCTTCACAGGTCCTACATTTTCTGCTACTGGTGCTGCATGTACCACTAGACAGACGTGCGAATGCTTGCTTTTACTCCTGTTTTCCTCTGTTGTCAGAGAGTCCAGCTGCAGGGAGTTTGGAGGCTGAGGAAGGCTTTTGGGGACCTGCAGCAGTGTCTCTTTTAATTGGAAATGACAATTCAGACTAAACGGTGTATTTTCCGAATACCCAAGGCTGGAATAAAGAATGCCAGGAAAAAGTATAAAAATTCCGAATTACGGCACTATTGCTGTGCATATTTTGGGCAGTTCAATATATATCATACAGGCAACTGGGGGCGATTCGGCCGTTTTTGCTGCTACCATGCAAACTAATTTCCAGTAATTCTGCATCTTCTAAGAAGTATGCCTGCATACGTGTATAAACTATATAATTAATTCAGAAAGAAGCTACATTTATGTAGAACAACCCTGTTCCACGAGCACTTCAAAGATCATCAGACGCAGGTCCTTTAAAACATCTGCGAACCACCGCATGCAGAGTGGCAGCATAGAGTCGGCGTCGCGAACTAATTTGCCGACACCCCCAAAGGCCCATGATATAAATGCCATTTCAAATGTCTTGAAAGCGGGATGTAATATCGTCCAAAGTCATGAACATGCAAGGAACAAAAATCCAGCGTCTGAAACGCTTACGCCACCGCTTCTACGACCCCTCGCAAGATTGCCTTGTGTCGTGTGGACGGAAGGGGAGGTTGATCGGCGGAATTGCCTTCGACAATAGCTTTCGGGATTTGTAATCCAATTTCAAAGGTAAAGGGGTCAAGCAGGCTTATAAAATGTACTGAAGCACGTCAATATCGGCCTAACTAAACGTCATGTACACCGGGTAAACGAAGTCCAGCTCCTCGAAGAGCTTGCGGCTCGCAACGGCAAACCAGGAAACCGGTGCTGGAAGCAAGCCGATGCGAGATCGCGGAGCGGAGTCCTCCCCCTGACGTCACGGTACACCTCACCCAATCAGGGCGCGGCGACCGCAGTGACGCTTGTGTTCGCTCTTGGGGCTAATATCTGTTTTTGTTTATTGAGTGATGTTTCATCAATTTGTAATCAAGTTATGTGCTATATTCTTAACTCTTTCCGGACCATGGGAAAAATGCCTGTTCTTTTGCTATATTCTGTTACCTTTCTCTACTGGGAAAACGCTTAGGAGACTTTCTCAGTAGTAAGTACGCTATTGTCACAAAAACTCCGGCCAAAGTTTGAAGTTACCAAAAAATCGCGATTACAAGTAAGGTGTACAAGTTGTACACGTTACTAAAGAAGTCAAGAATTACATTTTCAATTTTCCACTGCTAAATTGTAACCATTTACTGCTACAATTACTCTTCCATAAGCGTAGGTGAGCGTTACGTCCAAAACGTAATCCGTTACATTTTCGGTGTTACTTTAACGTTACGTCCTAGGGTAAGCAAAAAAATAAAATAATATGCCAATAGGACCTTAGCAGATGTTCAGGAGGCGCTGCAGTTGGGCGAAAGTCAGCGCCTCCACCGGCAACGATGGGTAGTCGCCGGTGCGTCGTCTGCCTCTCCTGCCCCCATTTCTCTTCGCTAACTTCCAAATGCAGCGCTGGCTTGTTTGACGGCGTGCGTCCCCTTACGTATTGAAAACGTAGTGACTGATTTGTCTGGGGTAACACTGCGCTGTTGCTTGGGTATAGTGGACATAATACTCCGGGCATACCCTGAAGGCACTTACGCAACACGGTCTCGAGTTGACTTTTGTCTCAGGGTGCAAATTACTGTGATTAATGTTCATTAGATCAGATCGTGTCTGCCCTGACTTTATTATTTCCATATGTATACAAAATGTTTTATTTGGGGGCAACTCGGGAAATGTGTTTGAGGTAAGGTTAACTTCATTCACTTTATTATTTTATTGTCGGTGAATATTTGCTAGAAGCTTGTTTTCCTTTTAGTTATTTTATTTATATTCTCAATAAACATATTAACACTTTCGAAAAAGTAGTCAAGCACAATTTGATGGTTTCATATTTCATTTCACGTTTCACATTTCATATTTCATTTCACGTTTCTTAATATTGTTACTAAAATACATTTCGAGATCTGGACGGAAATGGTCAATAACTTCTATTCGTGAATGATATATTTTTATAACCAACCGTTTTGGGAGTCTTTTCTCAATTTGGAGAGTTTACGACACCGTGATATGATTGGTTTAAAATATGTAAACACTTATTTGTTTTGAACAGAAGCAGAAGCAACTTAAAATTCGGTGACTTCCAAGTTGGCGAATCGCATCATGTCTAAAAAATTAAAGACAACGATACGAGAAAATTAAGTTGGTGCGAAGCTTTTTGACTTAACGAAGCATAAGACCGCAGATCGGGAGTTCGCCGTGTGCTTAAAAACCGCGTTACAAATTATCCACAATACACATATGTTTCCAGAAGTGTTGCTCACATGTTTTGTGGTACTCGAACTGCGTATTTTACGCATGACTTTGATACATATGCATACTTTAGTGTCCCAATGTTTCGGCTTCTATATTAAATTACGCAATGCACTTTGAATTGATTAACCAATTCACAGTAAGCATCGGTAAAATAGCGAATAGCAAATCGGCAAATGTGCGAATAACGCTCTCGAACTCTTCACCGAATAACAATATCAAGGGCCAAAAGGACGTCCTATTTGAGTCAGAACGTTATCTTATCTTCTTTAAATTAAAGGAAAGGATGTACCCACATTACTGAGTTCTTCCGCACGACAGAACGTCATGGTAAGCTCTCTCACTCAAACGCCGTTTTGACTGAGCGCTACACAAAACAAATAGATTACAGAAACTCGATATTACGTGTCGTGTATAAAGTGATTGCTGCCCAGGAAGTAGATAAAATGGGTACAAAATACGGCATTTTATCACCAAACCTCATGGTTACCACGTGCGGGTAACCTCATGGCTACCATCAAACATACAGGTAGCAAGGATTTCAGGCTTTTGTACTTTGTTGTTTTACACGTTAGGATAAGACACCAACGAGTTCTAATGTTGTAAACGCACACTATAGAATGAAGAAGGCGTTCGTTTGTTCGTGTCGTTGTGCATTACGCATCTCAAGTACAACGACTTCAACGGCACAAATGACGAAACTAACTTCCCATTCTTGCGGAAGCTGAGCACCGTATGGCGCCGCCTGTCAAAACAAACTCCCTTGGACGGTCTAAGCTGACGCACGAAAAGTTTGACAGGGATGTGGGCAACCTGGAACTATTAGAAGAATAGCCGAAAAACAACCCAACATTAAATAAATAATGAAATTTAAATAAAAATGAAGTATTCTAATATATATGGAGCAATATGCCAGTTACTGTGATCTTATTCAGTCGATTTCCGCTTTCAACTTCATCTCAGCGGAAGACGGAGCGTCCACTCCTGTTGTGACATTATATGCACGGTCGTAGTCACTATAACCGAAGAGGGCATTGTTGATTATCTTCTGGAATGCGTGCCATTGTTTGGTGTCGTCCTCTCTGCGTCTTCGAAAGCGAAGGAGTGACGGGACAAAAAGAACTGGCGCTCACATATCCGCTATACCAACTCGAGTGCATTTCGACAGTCTTTGTTTTGTTTGTCAGAAGTAAACATTTTGACAGTGGAAATTTGCCTATTATTGCTTGCACCGAGAGTCCGTTTCTTTATATCAATGTACTTCCTTCTTTGTTGTGGGCGAGCAAGATTAACAAAAATAAAGCAAAAAAAAAATCTAAAAAAAATCCAGGTGAAGAAAAGCTTTGAGCAACTGAAGGCTGCCAGGCCCTGCGTTTGTTTAGTGCAGGTGACAGTATTATGTCGGCAAAGCTCATCTACACGCAAAAAGAAAAGATGCGATATTTGTTGGTGTTCTGAATTACCGCATTTTTTCTGTGAATAAAAAGGAAAATACAACGGATTACAATAATTTTCTTAACTAAATAGGTCAATTAATTTCAGTCTTTCTTGTGTTTCTTCTCTCGGTATTTTTGCAAACGAAAAAGCACCAGGCAATTGAGCGGGTGGGTTTGCAGTGCCTCTAATTGATGGCGTTGCATGCTGCGCCGAATATTGACATTTCTAGCGTTATTGAGGATTAATTTTGAGGCAAGAAGAATGAATGAAGAGTTATATTTTTTTTTTTAGTTTGCTGCAGAAAGGAAGTTTGATCAGTTGACTCACTGTACACGGCTGAAGACTGTGCGACGGCAGGTCACCGCGATCTGTCGGTGGCTCGTTCACTGTGGGTTCGAAATTTCGCTAACACATTTTGGTTGACAGGCTCTCAGCGGTGCTGTCCCCTTGTTGACATTAGAACCGCGCGTGGTCGCTCAAAGAGTTTCTACTATGCGGAGCGCAAGATCTTCTGCTTCGTTTGCTGTGGTTGTCGTGACGTCAGAATGCCGAGGTGCGATTGGCTCTGATTGAAGAATAGTGGGTAGAACTGAAGGCAGCTTGCTTTGACGTCTACCCACCATCCTTCAATCAGAGCCACTCAGAGCTCGGCGTCTTTCTGACATCACTGTAACCGCTGCAAAAGAAGTCGACGAACGTGCGCTACGCATAGCGCTACGAAGTTTTGGGACGAGCTGCGTATTGGACAACTCTGCTATTTGGTTTACAATATAATTTCATGAGTAGAAATTAAGCTAAATAAACGGGTATTTTGAATGATGCAAACGTCAAAGCAGATATCTCAATTCGAACGTCGAGTTAAAGGGAAGCTGAAACACTTCTTGAAAAAAACGAGTTAGAGGTGAATTCTGGACTTATTTTTATCCCGTGAATCTGAATATCACATTCGCTTCCTCTAAAGATGCAACTAAACGCGAAAAACCTCCGACCAGTCGTGACGTCATACTAGGATCTTTGGGCCGCCAAGCGCGTGTCGCTCGTGTGGGCAGCGTGTGCAATTGCAAGCTTTGCAGGTATATTTTCTCGCACTGACGACAGTCGTGACGTCTCTTTCTGACCTTTTTGAAAATAGCAAGAGTGCGCGTGCATAGCTTTGACAGGCGCTGAAGATGCGCGAGAGCAGAGATTCTGAAAACTCCTAGTGTGACGTCACGCCCCGGGTAGGAGGGGCTTCGGCGGTACTTTAAAAATTAATTTCTGAAGTCTGCATGCTCTGAATTGAAAAATAATCTCAATATTCCTGATCCTGGAGATAAAATGAAGGCCATTGAAGTGTTCTTTCTCAAATAAAGTACCGCTTCAGTTTCCCTTTAATTTCTAAAACATAATTAATTTTCTAAAAATATGGTTCCTACCGGATAGATATGAATATATCTCGAAAGAAAATAGCAGAAAGAATACCTGAAATATACAAAACGTTCCTCATCTTGACAAAAGTATATCTGCAAAAGCTAGACTTTTAGCTGAAGAGGTTTGAGGCACCAAAAATCAAGTTATTCCCCGTGACTAAGGTGCCATTGGGCTAAACAGTTCTTTAATGTGGCCACATGATTAACTGGCTCCATCATCAAACCGACGTTACTATTCGAGTGCGAAAAAGCAATGGAGGATTCGCGAGGAATCCGTTGCTTGTGAAGTTGAAAACGTCCCGTAGCCGGACCCGTAACAACAACGAGGACGCGCCGTCGGTTTTACGTTCGGCTCAAAAATCGCTGCCACGAGGAAGGAGAAAGAGAAACACAGAAACCAAAACGATAGTCTTCAATCCACATATGAGAAGATGCAGCGAGCGCTGGAGATCAGCGGGGAATTTGAAATAGGCTTCCACGCATATCGATCGCGGGGCATCGACGCTCCGTGGATTAGGTATAATATTGGTTAAGACAGTACAGGGGCAGACCAATGGGTCAGGTCTGAGGAACGGGGTTCAAGGGAGGTGCGACCTCACAGACGGTTGTGCCGTCATGGACAAACCGTTGCCGAGATCTATTTTCTTAACCTAATATTTCCATCTCACCGAGAACTGTATATTTCTTCCTAAAACAAAACAAAACAGTACGTGTATGTCGTTTTCTCAATAAAATGTTGCCTTTAAACCCCCTCTCCCTTTAGTCCGCCCTTGACAGTGTGTTGTTCAACACATAATTGATTGTCGGGATTTAGTATTGCGTATACGAGTGAACACAAGCATGAGCTTTTTCTTAGACGTTAAGTGTCGTTTCACACTGCGCGTGGGCGGAGCCGAAGAAGCGGCCTTGAATTGGCGCACGGCGACGACGCGCATGCCCAGCGTGGAGCACGTAACGCTAACGTACAGGGCTTGCTTTTGTTCCTATAAGTAATACTAAAACCCTATAGACCCCTTTCGAAAGACTGCCCTCCTTTGGCAGCTCTAGAGTTACTAAAGAATGGCGGACTAAAACCGTAACGTCACGGCACACTTTATGCATCTGGTTGAATCAGGAGACAAGCACACGCCCACAGAAAGAAGTCGACGAGCGCAGTGACGTTGCGCGTTGACGCTGTTTGAATGACTCGTCGGCTCCTAGCGTTGGCCGCGCTCCAACGTTTGCTGCCTTATAGAGTGACATGCATCTTCCGTGATGCCAGTTGTTCCACCATTGTGTAGTGATTAAGACCTTCTAAAAGAATAGACACGTGACTTTCGAATGGGGTTCTATTGCTCCAGGCAGACGTGAGCAGTCGCTGCGTTCCGCAAAGACAAACATCCCCTTCGTGCTTTCTCCCAACCTGTCAAAGTAGCGAAAGGGATAAAATAGTAAGGGTGCAGGCGAGCTGGTGGATGTTAACCATGTTGAATATACCTGAGAGTGGGGTAGAAAAGAACATAAAAGTCGAAGAAACAGAGACGTCGTCCTGTCCCTTTGTTTCTTCGACTTTTATGTTCTTTTCTACCCCAGTCTCAGGTATATTCAACATAGCGAAAGGGAGGAGGGCTGAAAAGCGGAGGAAACCACTTCCGAGATAACAAAGACGCTGGATTTTTCAACGCCACCTACCGGGCCAAGAACTAAGGTTGAATACCAGTGCGGCGTTTGGCTGCGATTTGTGTCTTCACTGATTGATCACGTGTTGCCTGTTGAGCGCGGACGCAGCACTGACGTTCAATCTGCGCCACACAATCGCCTTTGGCAGGTGACGTCGAAAATCGAGTATACTAAAGCTTTGCTGTCTATACTGCGTTTCAAGACCAGCAGGTATTACGCCCCAGTGGAGAGAAATCAAGCCGCGCTAAAAGGGCAACTGAATGGCGCTTATTGTCTTTGGGAGTTAGCTGTGAACAATTAAACTCACCGCGCACACTGAAGGCGCCGTGATCCAGAGCGTGATTCCTTTAGATCTGACGGCGAACGTGCAAAGGTGTCGAGCGCCGTGAAGACGACTCGCTTCTGGCACTACTTGATTGTTTCTTTCGGACTGTAGAGTTGGCATACGGTCGGACCTGATGCGAAACGGAGTATAAAAAGTGTTGCGTGACTCCGCTAGCGTTACGGAGAGCCGTGTATACAGAGAGTTTGGTCAATGGGAGGCACGGGCAGAGCCAGGGCGTGCACCAGACGAAAAAGGAGGGCTTGACATGCTCTCTTGGCCAACCAGAAGCGGAAAAAAATCCCCAGCGGTGGTAATGAGAAACACTTTTAATCATAGATCACGCAGAAAGGCGCAACAAACGAACTACCGCTCGAGCTCTGTTTTGCTCGGACAGAGTGTGGCCGCTCAGGTGGCAGATTCGCGGCCCTCGGCCCTTGGCGTACGGATTATGTCGATCGTTCCGCTAGTCGCAGTCTTCCACATGATTTTGGATGACTGCGATTGAAACATCACGTGCACCATATTTTCAGTCCCCGAGAGTTACTCCGACGCACTTATTAAGTTTGTTTTTCGCAACCACCACCAACGTATTATTTCCGGCTTCTGATTATAGCCACATTCGAATTTGTGAAGACGCCCTGGAACACGCCCAGCACGCTTTCGGCCAATGGCGCCTCCTCATTTGCGTCCTATACTTCCCAACGAATTGCCATACTGTCTGTATATACGGCTCTGGCGTTAATCTCTAAAGAACAGAATTGCCTTGCTTTGTAAGGACAGGAATTGATGCGAGAAGATATGAAATCGAGAAAGGTACGAGGGTGTGCGAGCGACAACGAGCAAAATTTCTCATTGATGCATCAGTTTCTGTCAACTGTTTTAGGCATGACTGCGCGTCTTACCATTTAACGAAGGTTTATATTTGTACCTAGGGATGATTTGGGAACCTTTGTGTATCTAGGAATTACAGGAGGGGCAACCTGTTGAGCGTGACCGACGACTCCGCAGTCTCGGAAGACGACGGGAATGACGGCGGTGACCACATCCAAGTGCGACTTCCCGATCATCCGGACCATCAAAGTGCCTCCACATCTTAGCTGTGACTCACGCTCAAGATGCCGTCCCGCCGATGTAAAGTTGAGAGAAAAAAATATATGATATTATTTAAGGACACGTTGAAAACAAAGATAAATAGATCTTGTTGGGATGCGAGTGTATCGTTGTGATAAAAGCTTTTTGTCTTGTCTTCATTCACCATTCCGCCGTCATCAGTGGACTGCTGTGGCCTTTCATTCACGCTGCGAGGCTGCGTCCAGAGGCGGTGCGCGCTGTACATTCTGATCCTGCACGTTTTGGTCGCTCTGGCGCTCTGGCGGTGACATCAGGCTCCCCCACGGCGCAGGCGCGGCGAGCCCTACCGGCTTCAGAACGGCTTCCCTGACGAAGCAACGCGTTGCTGTGCTCTTCTTTGTGTTCTATTTCTGAAGCGCCTTCATTTTGACCTTGAGCGCACCCGCCGGCTTCCATGACGAGGCAGATCTGTGTTGCTGTGCTTTTTTTTTTTCTCTTTTTACTTGGTGTTCCATTTTTGAGGCACGGCCTACTCAGCTTATGGGAATTTGGGTGCCGTTTTTCGCTGCTAGACGCCGGATCTTTCCATGAGTCATTTAATTCCTTCGCATTAACAGTTATAATGCTGCAAACTCCAGCACGTGTTGCAGTGTAACTTGACTTTAGCAGGCTCCTAGCGAAAGGACTGATAAGACTGAACGCTGGAGTTCTTTTGGTTCCATTTTAATGCGAAAGCATTAACTGCGGGGGGGGGGGGGGTTATGAAGCGAGGTGACGTCATCAGTTTGAAGCGCGAAAACGGCACGTAGTTTCCCTGATCTCAAAGGTCTCATCGGATGGCGCGCGGCGACGAGGCTCCCATTGGCCGCTGCGAGCGTCAGTTTCAACGACCACCGCCAGATAGCGCTAAGTGTCCGTGCCGCCAGCGCGCCGATAAAACTAACCACCGCAGCCCCATGTCACTACGGGCACCGCGCCGGTTAAAACGGACACGTTGGCGCGCGCTCGGAGGCTACGGCTCGTCTCGCCGCCGACCAACATGCCGTCGCCTCTATGATCGACATCGTCGGCGGTGATTCTGCTTGTCTCGCCGCTGACAAACATGGAGCTGCCTCTAGCATCCACATCGTCAAACATTAATGCTTTCGCATTTACAACTCATAAGAAATGCTTAGGTGTACCTCGAGCTTTTTTTTTTTTTTACCTTTCTGAATTTTAGGCAAAACTGCATGAACCTCTAAAGCAGTTTAGTGTCCTCATAAATAACCTCGAGAGTTCATTATGAATGCTTTTTCAACAGTGATCTTGCTGCGTCAGGGAGGAATGAACCGGTGCTGGCCTTATCTATCCGGACTAATTCAATCAACGCCCCAGCCTGTTTTGATCTGGATGAACATCGTATACGGCGAGCGGTCGTGTGTCACTACTGCATGGTGCTTGTTAAAGACTCCAGGCTAACAGTCGTGCTGCTCTGGCTAAAATGCTCATCTACAGCTGATAGAAGAGTCGCCCGTCGAGGAAGACCAAGTTTAGGCTGTATTTTTTATTTTTGCTTGAACTAAGGTTCCTTGATGTATTAGCGTTTGTCTTGCAAATAACCTCAAATGCGCCAATGCACGAGGCCCGTGCCTCGAGCGGCCCTTGGAAGCAGATGGCGGCGCAGCACTGAAATGGGCTGCTCTTGGAAGCGAATGGCGGCACAGCACCCGCTCCTGGCGCGTGTCTTGGGCTTTTCCACAACAATGGTTGGCGGTACTTGAAAGCGTGAATTTTACCGAGAGACTTTAGTTTGCAGTTGCCGGCAGCGTCTTAAACTTTTAGGATCTACGAGGATAGTCGACATTGAAGTCCTGGAAAACATTCGTGACCTGGAACAGAGAAGGCTCTCACGTATGACGTGAACAGAGAAGGCTCTCTCGTATGACCCAAAACAAGACGCCCAAAACGAACCTTGGTGTGCACAACGAAGCATTCGCTTCTCCTTCCCAGCTTCTTCTATCCTTTTCAGAAAAAAAGAAAAAAAGTGAAAAACGTTAGCTTTATTTTTGCTTAGAGGGTTATGATTTCTTGAAAATGCAGCGAGATACATCGAACGTTGAAAGTAAGTGATACGAAAAATACAGCCTAAAATATATTTCGGTACATTTAGGCTTTTCACAATTGTCCAAATCACGGGCATAAGAGCATTGTCAGAATGTCAACTTCTATAGTGCTGGTTTGAAAACGCGATGGCCCCTAGCTTCTTATATGCCTTTGAAACACGCCATCTTACTTGTCGCATCTGATGATAAGTAGCCAGCGTCAGAACTCGTGACACCACGGCGAGGCCAATTTTTGTCGCGATGTCACGGATGGAAACCCTAAGAGGGCGCCACAAAAACATCGGTGTTGGATGCCGGGAGGGTGTCGTCATCGCCTTCCCTGACTGATTGCAGGTCACAAGCATAGATTAACATACAGACGACCAAAACCTCGCAAGGCGATTGACTAATCGGTCATTTTGCCATGGCTTTCGACATTTCGGTCTTTTCCAATCTTCGATGTTTCAAAAGGGTTGAACTGAACCAGTCACGCCAAGATCGCTGGAAAGCGCCAGTGTAGTGAAAGCATTCCTCGCCAATATAAGCACCTTTGACACTGCGTATGCATGGAATTTATCAATCATGCTTATAGACTGATGTCATATAATGATAATCTCCTTCAAGGCAGAAAAATGCTCTTCTTTCTATGGTGTGTGAATAACAAAATCTCAGTATGCAGGAAATGTCTTTATGAAGAACCTGTCACCCCGATTTCGAATCGGCTTACCAGGAGTGGAGAAGTCAAGGAGAAACGGTTCACATCATGAGCCATAAAAGTGGCCATATGGAGAGTTTGGCGCAACTTTGTCAGAATCTAGTGAATATGCAGCTTATAAAACAGAAGTATAGGCCTGTAGCTCCCAACATTGCCACTAGGGAGCAGAATAAGGAAGTTTCCGAGAAAAGAGGTCCGTGATTTTCTGCCCGGGTAAAGGAACTATACATCGCAGAATGCTCGAACTCTGTGTGAATGTGACGCTACCGTTTGGGATAAATTGACGCGAAAGCTCGAAAACGTAACGTTACCTGAATTAAAGAAAATAAGGATTTTGAAAAACGAATTTTATTTTTGAGTCGATGTCTACTTAAGCCTAGTATCGTCAAAACAAGGACTTACATTGTGTACGCTTGTGGGATTTAAATCAGTGGGAAACACTGTCAACAAGAAAGAGAATATTCTTTTCTTTTTTGCTGACAAGATTTTTTTTACCTAAATAGATGCTACAGGACCTTAGTGTTACTTGTTTTGGTGATGTTAAGCTTAGGTGGACGTCGGCTTACAAAATCTTTTTGCTTTTCTCAATTGTCTTTTGATCCAGGTAACGTCATGTTCTCAAACTTCCGCTTTCTTTCCCGACCACTATCAGGTTCTCACGCTGTTTAAGCTTTCTGCAATGCATGGTGTTTTTCGCCTGGGGCGGAAAGACACAATTCTTTTTGCTCAAACCCCCCCCCCCCCCTCCCACCCCCCGCCCTTTAAAAAAGTAACGAAACAAAGCACAAAACAGTTTTTCGCAAAAATAAACTATGCATCGCCAAACACTGATTCTCAACCAAAATTTAGCGCTAAATGTCTGAATCAGATGCCGAAGTTTAAGCACTAGCCCTTATCTTATGCAAAAGTTATAAACTCTTTTCTGAATCTTTGAAGGGGTACATGGGGCCCATTTTCGCCCGTCTCCGATAACTGGCACCATAAAGCTCCATGTATTCGAGTGCTCGCACTGCCACCATTTTCCCGGTAGAAACTTTTAAAAAATCACTTCTAACTTTTATTAAGGTAATGGTTAGTGCTGAAACTTTGGCATTTGATTTGGACCTTGAGCACTACATTTGGGTGTAGAATCAGTGTTCGCCTATGCACAGTATATCTTTGAAGCAAAAAAACAAAACAAAAAGAAAACATGTAGCTTTTATTACGATAAGGGTTAGTGCTGAAACTTCGGCATCTGATTTGGACCTTGAGCACTACATTTGGGTGTAGAATCAGTGTTCGCCTATGCACAGTATATCTTTGAAGCAAAAAAACAAAACAAAAAGAAAACATGTAGCTTTTATTACGATAAGGGTTAGTGCTGAAACTTCGGCATCTGATTTGGACCTTGAGCACTACATTTGGGTGTAGAATCAGTGTTCGCCTATGCACAGTATATCTTTGAAGCAAAAAAACAAAACAGAAAGAAAACATGTAGCTTTTATTACGATAAGGGTTAGTGCTGAAACTTTGGCATCTGATTTGGACCTTGAGCACTACATTTGGGTGTAGAATCAGTGTTCGCCTATGCACAGTATATCTTTGAAGCAAAAAAACAAAAAACAAAACAAAAAGAAAACATGTAGCTTTTATTACGATAAGGGTTAGTGCTGAAACTTTGGCATCTGATTTGGACCTTGAGCACTACATTTGGGTGTAGAATCAGTGTTCGCCTATGCACAGTATATCTTTGAAGCAAAAAAACAAAACAAAAAGAAAACATGTAGCTTTTATTACGATAAGGGTTAGTGCTGAAACTTCGGCATCTGATTTGGACCTCGAGCACTACACCTCGAGCATTACAGTAGATATACCGGTGCACAGTATATCTAAAAAACAAAACCAAAAACATGTGGCTTTTTTTTTTTTGCAAGGGGGGGGGGGGGGGGCATTTTCTTACTTTTATAAAACTTTAATTTCTCCCGACGCATCCGTTCTGCGCCCAGCACAGATCCGCGAACAGATAGCAGACGACTAAGTAAAACAAACATTCGTCGACTTTAGAATTTTTTTTTATCATACGGGAAAGTTTGTACGTTTTTAAATGTGGACTGAAACTGCATAATCATTAATTGCGTTATTACAATAATTATTTATCGCGGTTATCCTGCTCGTCACCAGCCTCTCCTATGGGGTTCTGGGTGTTTTTGCGTTCTCCACACCTCCTGGGAGCGAGTTTGCAAACCAGTGTGCAGACGAAGAGCAGGCAGATGTAGGACTTGGGAAATGAAAAGTTGCCATTTTAGCTCTATTTTCGTTTAAATTTCACCAGCTTTGATTTCAGCCCTAAAAAATAGACATATTTGTTTTTGCAAAACGGCGTTCGTGTTTGCAGTTTCACGCACGTACGTCTGGAATTCGAATTTTGTGAGGTGTGCGAATGTGCTGACCCATACAGCCACGCCACCGCACCCTGTAGATAAATTCTAACGTGGTTGGAACTTCGAATACAGTCGGAAATTAGAGCTTGTTCTACATTATGTAGGCTACTATAATCTACGTCTTGACTGGCTCGTATCTCGCGCCGCCCGTTGGTCGCTTCAGGCAGCGGCGGACATAGGGCGAAGTAGATCTAGCGCGATATCGGCGGCGAGCAGCCGGATGCTAGCTATACCGCTGAACGCGACGAGGCGTGAGGTCAAGATCGGCGGAACCCAGCAACCTGACCAGTGGCTGGTGGTTAGTTTGGACAACAAAGCTCAGATCGTGGAGAAGCTTTTTGAACCTCTGGATGGACTACGGAACTCCTAACGCATCCTTCATGATTTCTCTGTACCGCTCTTCGGCAATAATCAGTGACCGTGACACAAAGGCGATTGCTCGTCACTCACTAGATGTTGCTCTTGCAGTAAGACGGCGCCCAGGCCGTACGATTTGCTGCCTGCAGAAACGGTTGTAGGATACTCTGTGTTCTACCGAGCCACACAGGAGCTAGATGCCACCATCTTCTTCAGCGAGTCGAATGCTGAAGCTTGACCAGTCCCCCAGGTTCAGACCGTGTCCCTGTTCAGTACGAGCCTGATAGGCGAAGCGGTGGCGGACAGGCTCAGAAAGAAATGCCCGATGTGGTTTAGCATTCCCAGGGGGCGCCGCACGCCTGGAGCGTCTGTCGGAAATTGCATACTCGTGATGGCGGGGACCTTGTCCGGGTGTGATGCTATGCTATTGGTGCTCAACATCACGCCAATAAACTTGACGGACGACACCCCGAAGCGGCACTTGGAGGCATTCAGCTTAACGCCCGCTTGCTGCAGTCTCTCGAGAGAAACATGGTCTGCTCTCGAGCTTAGACCGGGCTCTTCCATACGCCAGGATGTCGTCTACGATATTGAGGAATCCTTCAATTCCCTGGAGGATCAGTTACATTGGATGCTGGGACACCTCTAGGACCGACGTAATTCCCAAGGGCAGGCAGCGATAATAGGATCGCCCAAAGGGTGTAATGAACGTTATGTGCTCCTGGCAGCTTTCGGAGAGGCGTACCTTGTGAAACATATATATTGCGCCCAGTTTCGAGAAGACGGTAGCGCTTCCCAGCAGCCCGAATACTGGCCGACGGTCGGCATCAAATGCTGCTTTTTGAGGACGACCTGGTTCAGCTTGGTTAAATCGACGTGCAGCTGATAGCCTCCCGCGTCCTTGGGAACCTCGACAAGGCCGGTGCACCATGCCGCGGAAGTTTCAACTCCCGATCATTAACATAGGCCGCTGTTTGAAGACAAGGGTCGCCTTGCCGTAATACTTCAGTGCTGTTGAGTCTCCTTTCCCGAGAGCCTCCAAGTACGGCTAGCGGGGCGTTGCAAGCAGACGACAGCGATATTGGTCATAGCACGATCGGAGGTATGGACTAGATCAGGGGTCTCCGAACTTCTTGACTAAGGGGCTGGATGAGAGATCTGTCGCAGTCTCGAGGTCCGGAAATAAAATATTTTAGAATAGGAAAAACTAAAGAAACAAGCCTGTTGAACCATTTGAACACAAATATGTTTCTTTGAGTAAGTATTAAAACAATACCCTAAGATCTACATTGCAATATCTACATTGCAATACTTCAATTTAAAATTTAATATATATTTAATTAGGATCTTGCACAAATATTGTGACCAAGAAAATTCACCAGGCATAAATCAAGGCGCATGAGAAATATGGCACATTGGCCTGTTCATAACACCAATGAAACTGACAAAACTACTGTTGACGATATGCTATAGTTGTGACGATAGAGACAGCCGAATGTGCATGAGAATGCAAAAAAATATTTTACCACATTTACAGAGACTTGTAAAAGAGGGCTACGAACGGTGGCGACGCTGGCGATGACAATCTTAAAGTAAAATGAAAAAAAAAAAAACCGCCTTACCATGCAGTTTCTCTCGTCTTCTGGTATCTGCTTTTTCGCATTTAGAGCGCGTTTTCTTTACATGCACTTCATTTTGCACCGGAAGCAGCGGTTCTGCTGGAAGGGGGCCGCGGGCCGGGCTTCACTGGAAGAACCGCGGCCAGCCACGGGACGGTCGGAAGACTTCTGAGGGCCGGATCGTGCCCGCGGGCCGGGTTTTGGAAACACCTGGTCTAGATCAGCGTCACAACATGCACTATGCCGCGCGCGCAGCTGGCCAAGTAGGCAGCGCGCGCGTGGCCTAACGGTTATCATTCTGCATCTGGCGTTCGGACCGCTTGGACGCAGAATGGCTGGCTCCCACGGAGCAGTGATAAAGGCCAACTCGGGCCGCGGTTTATCTGTTCTTTCTTCGACGGACGATTATCGTGTTGTTCTCCCACCCCTGCCAGCAGGAATTTTTGCTGTGAACACCGTCTTTCTTCATTGCGACGTGACCGGTCGCCCTTACCGGGTAGACCACTTCAGGGCCGAACTGGAACGCCTTGGCGTGATGAAGGAGATAGCGGCGATTGGCGCCTACCAAATGAACCACCTGTGGATGCTGACACTTCACACCGCAAGAGCCAAACAGAGGTTAGTGGAAGCACGAGAACTCTTTGTGAAAGAGAAGAAGTGCTTAGTGCTTGACCCGGACAACTCTGAAGTCCGGTTAAAAGTGCACTGGGTGCCATTCCACGTTCCGGACGAGGCTCTCTTCCGAGGTTTTGAGCGGTACGGGAAGGTTCAGGAGGTCACTCGCGAAACCTGGAGGACGGAAGGCTTTCAGGGCATACAGTCGTCCACGAGGATGGTGCGACTTAGCCTGAAGCAGGGCGTCACCATTGATAGCCTGCCTCACCAGCTCAAAGTCTACGGCGGAGGTGTCCTGGTCGTGGTTCCCGGACGCGCACCCCTGTTTGCGGTGCAAATCGAGAGGACACATCCGGAAGGATTGCAGGGCACCCTGGTGTCAGCAGTGCCGCAGGGTTGGGCATGCACCTGAAGACTGCGTGCGTACGTACGCCACCGTCACCGGGGATCGTTCAACGGATGATGTGCAAGACCTCGAGATGGACGAGGAGGAAGCAGAGGATTCGGCACGGAGCGAATCTCAGCAACCATCGCCCGCTCCACCAACGAACAAAACAGGAGAATTCCGGAACGTCAAGTTCTGCTACCGGTCCCCCCGAGTCCAACGCTGAGCCAGAACCCAAAGCTCAAGGGACAGGTATCCTCTGTGTACCAGTTGGAACACCTGTCAAATTGACTGAACAAGCCGCAGAGACCTCCGACACTCCGCTGAGCAAGGAGCGTCAAGAAGAAACTGAGATCGACACCGACGACGCACCTCTGACTGACGACTTCCCAGCCTTGCAAACCCTCGACCAGTTCTCTCTCAGCCCTTCTCCGGAGAGGCCACATAACGTAGAACAAAAGTGGAACGGTGGTTTGACCAAGAAAGGACGCTTCAACCCAATGCCTCGTATCCCACCTGAAGACCGCCGGCGACAAGGCCCAGCGTAGACAGTGACGCCGCCGAAAATCCGAGACGCTAAGAAGCATATACAAAGCGGTGATCTTTTTTTTTATTCATTTTTCCGCAATTTATCTCCTCACATTACGCCCCTCAAAATGAAGCAACTTAAGATCGCCACGTTTAATTTGGTCAGTTTAATTTCTAGAACAAGAAAACAGTGGCTTCTAAATTTGCTTTTGAAAGAAAACGTCGATATAATTTGTCTTCAGGAAACCAAACTTTCTTCCGAGACACATGTGAATGACATGAATCTTTTTTTCGAAAGATATTATCATTCCTTTCACTCGAGGGCGGCCGGGCATAGTGGCGGCAGCGGAATTTTGATAAGAAAAAACAGAGGATTTGTGATCTACCATGAATGGGAAACAGATAGGAACGGCCGGGTTTGCTTGGCAGAAGTGATTAGGTATCAGGAGCCGGTTAAAATAATATCAATACACGCCCCCTGCGACGCGGCCGACCGCAAGGCTTTCTTTACGAATCTCCGGAAGTATCTTGACAGTCCTGTAAAGACGATTATCGCAGGAGATTTTAACTGTGTTTTAAACACGCAGGATTGCTCACGCAATTTGCAATCAGACTCCAGCCGGTCAGAACTTGATAAACTACTGCGAGAATTTGACCTCGTGGATGCGATCGAAGCGTCTCAGGGATCACGTCCTAGTTACACTCATTGGCAAGGCTGCTGCCACGCCCGGCTAGATCGCGTTTATATGTCGAGCGAACTCATCAGGGCAGTCACCGCGTACCAGGTGTCTCCGGTGGCCTTCTCTGACCACGCAATGGTTGCGCTGCGGGTAGGGAAGGTGAACAAAACCACAAGAAAACCATTCTGCTATAGCTCTTGGAAGCTTAATGAGAGTCTCCTCGACGACGAGGCCCTCTGTTCTCAGATAAAAAACACTATATCGGAAGTAGCACAGAAGGGGGATGTTGATGCTCTAACATGGGAAGAAATTAAAGAAAAGATTAAGCTACTCTGTTATTACCACAGCAAAGCAAAGGCCAGAAAGGCGCGGGAAACAAAGAATGCATTATTACAAGCCTTGCAAACTTTAATCGCCGAAGAAAACAAAACGCCGGGCGTTTTCACCGATGATATCCGTGCCTGCAAGGCGCAATTGCTTGGTCTCATGGAGAGTGAATACAGAGGAGCAATGGCTCGCAGCAGGCTCAGAGCGTTAGAAAAAGAAGAAGACCCCTGTAAAAATTTTATAACAAAGGAAAGAATGCGAGCTCAGCACAACAAAATAGACTCCCTTCAGGCCGGTGACCAAGTTTAACAGAACAGAAAAGTATCGAAGAGGAACTCGTGAGAGAGTTCCGAGAACTATTCACCAGCAAAGACGAAGGGATCAACAGGGCGCTAGATGAATGGGTAAATGCGCTCCCCAAAATTCCTATAAGTATTCAAAAACGCAGAAACAAAACAATCACTAAATCTGAGATTGCTAAAGCAATAAAAGAACTACCATCACGGAAATCCCCTGGAGTAGATGGTTTAGGATCAGCGTTCTATAAAAAGTTCGCCGACGTTCTTGTTCCCGTATTAGGTTACGTCTTTGCTGACAATCTCTGAAGGGACCTACTACCACCCTCTATGCGACAGGCACTCACTGTGCTAATTCCAAAAAAAAAGCTCGGGCTCTAGCGCCTTAACAACAGATAGATTAAGGCCTATCAGCCTTCTAACGACGGATTATATGCTGCTGGCCAGGATACTGGCAAAACGATTGGAGATGGGCCTTAAGTTCGTAGTGGGCGACCATCAGACCTACGGGTTCAAGGGGAGATCTATTACCTCTAACGTTCACACGCTCCGGATTCTTTCCGAAAGAGCTGACGCAACAGGACTCTCCGCAGCAGTGCTGCCGATTGACCTCAGTAAAGCTTTCGACCGGGTATCACATGCCTTTCTATTCAATCTGCTGGAAGCGTGTGGTGTTGGCAAAAGAATCGCGAAATATATTAAACTATGTTACAAAGATATATCGACACGATTATTGGTTAATGGGAGCGTAACAGAAAAAATCTCAGTTCAGGGCTCGGTCAGGCAAGGCTGCCCCCTCTCGGCTATACTGTTCTCGCTGTATTTGGAGCCTGTCTGTAAAGAATTATAAGCGACACCAGGATTCAGGGCGTCCCCCTTGCCAGGAATGCCACAAAGATACTAGCAGATGCCGATGATGTCACTGTTGTTGCCGCCAGCAGATTAGAAATTATTCTTGCGGCGCAGCACTTTGCTGATTTCTGCCAAGTATCCGGTGCCCAAATGAACCACGCTAAGTCTACAGGCGCATGGCTCGGAAACTGGGACGTGAAACCACAGCGATTTATTAATATTGATTGTAGCTCTACTCTTACGAATTATCTTGGTGTCAGCTTGGACCCCTATTCGCTTAGTAGTGGTAAAGGGGGCATTCACCTCAACAGTGTGAGGGCAAAAGTGCAAGACTGGCGTGGTCGGAACCTTTCCATTCTAAATCGTGCCTTCGTATGCAACTCAGTATTTTTCTCCGCTGTATGGTATGCAGCTCAACTTGTGCCATGTCACGCCAGCGAAATCCATAAAATGCACCGCTTTTGCGCAACCTTCATTTGGAATTCCAGCTTTGAGCAGATGAGGCGCACTAACATTTTTGTTGACCAAGCGAAAGGAGGGTTTGGTGTTGCAAACCTAGAAATTAAACTCAAAGTTCAGAGGTTTTTATTTTTCCGCGACCAGAGGAACTCTGTTATTGTGCAGTCATTAGTTAAACTTGGCGGCCGGCTGTTAGCACCATGGCTCGTTGTAACCCAGGAAGGAGCTACGTCAGCGGCTATACTGAGGTTTTATAAAGAAATCGCTGCTGCCATCACATTTTTTGAAGCACGTTTTTCTCGGCAGTAACTTAGCAAGGTGAAAAGAAAAACCCTGTATTGGGATACAGTCGACACGGTCTTTCCACCGCCGCTCTATCGCTCCTTCCTTGGAACTGATGTAGAATCCACGGTTTTCAAGCGCCTCCGCAGCTACCCCGTTCGCAAAGCCGCAATCGACTTCTTTATTTCTTTTCACACCGAAGTCCTGCCAGTGAAGACGTGGCAGGAAAAGAAAGGCTTCTTTGTTCCGTGGAATTTGAACTGTGTGCTGTATCCCACGCCGGAAACTCTACAGCATGTTTTTCTCTTTTGCCCGAACGCAGAGTTATTCTGGGCGTAACTACGCTGTAGATTACAGGTTGAATTGTACATGGATTGGCGCAGCGGGAAGCTCCTTGAGTTTGGCACAGGCCCTGACAGCAAATGTTTGGAGGTATTGGCACTGCTTGGACTGCACGCAATATGGAGGTCCCGCACAGATCACCTCCCGGTTCTCGAAGAAGGAAAACCAGCATGGCATCACATTGAAGAAGGCTTCATGATTGCGAGTAGCCTCATTGCTGAGGTGGGAAACCCCGAAATGGCTGGCTGGGCTGAATTGGAAGCGCGCTTTAAAATGCCAGAAACGCCTCGAAATCGGAGGAGATAAGTGCGGAACTTCGAAGCCACTGTATGAATGTGACTGGGTACCATGAACCAGTGTTGTTTAAATGGCCACATCGTGCGCTGTCTTTGCCCAAGTGTATTTTAACCATGTAAATAACCCTTGTTTTACATAAATAATAAAAAAGCCAAGTCGGCAAAAAAAAAAAAAAGTGGCCTAACGGTTATCGCGCTTGCTTTCCACACTGAAAGCCAGGGTTGGATTCC